GGGACTCGATCCCGGGACTCCAGGATCATGACCTGAGCCGAAGGCAGTCACTTAACCAACTGAGCCACCCAGGCGCCCGAGATTTTAATTTTCTGTTGTATACTGTCCTGTAGAGTTTTTTTTAAAATGATGCTTATTTCTTTTGTAAACAAATACATTTCATTAAAAATAAAAAGGAAATAAATACCTAAAAGAAATTATAGATTTAAACAATTGTGGTAAGAAATTAGATAATTTTAATTTAAAATATGATGAAATTCTAAGAGTTTCATAAAAAGAACAAAATCCTAGAAACATATATCTGAGTTTGAATTCCAGTTATATTACTTCTTACCCTTGTGACTATGAGCACATTACTTAATTTCTTTTAGTTTCATTATTGTCAAAATGATGAGTAATACCTTTTTCACAGATTTAAGAGAATTAAATTATATTCCATGTAATTGTGTAGCCTTCAGTGGTATCTATTATTACAAAGTAGTGGGATTGTTGTGCAAAGCTCTTTTTTATTTTTTTATTTATTTTTTTAAAGATTTTATTTATTTATTTGACAGAGAGATAGAGAGAACAAGTAGGCAGAGAAGCAGGCAGAGGGAGAAGCAGGCTCCCTGCCGAGCAGGGAGCCCGATGCGGGGCTCGATCCCAGGACCCTGGGATCATGACCTGAGCCGAAGGCAACTGCTTAACCAACTGAGCCACCCAGGCGCCCCACAAAACTCTTTTTTAGAAATGGCTTTTGTAAATAGATCACAGTAAACTAGAAACAACTTCTATCTTATTTTCCTGTGAATGTTCATTATGCTCAGTATCAGAGTCTGTCCTCAATAGCTAACAAGTATTAGTTACATTTTAAACTGTATCTTCATACTAACTAAATGTTAAGGAATGATTTCCTTACAGAGATAGTATAGATGGTATAGAGATATAAGTTTCAGTTGCTTTCTAGAAGTTTCTCTTCATATAGATAATTGAAGAAACTCTTCTATGGGAACTAAAGAACTGAAACAAGAGCCAGCTAAAATACTTCTCTGGAAACCAAAGAACCATTCTCAAGGAATTGTTTTCATTTTTTAAACACATGTGAATGACTAGAGATACTCAAATCTTTTCTTCTTCCTCTTTTTTTGTTTTACTCTCTTTGTCCCTACTTCTTCCACCTTCCACCTCTCTCGTGTATTCATCTATTCAGGTTATATGCTAGATGCTGGGGATTCACCTATAAACCAGACAAATATGCTCTTTGTCCTTGGTGACAATGTAGTTTAATGGAGAAGACCCTGAGCAAATGGTTACGAGTATGCTGAGGTTATAAAGGAGAAGTGCAGTGTTTCATGAGCTTGTAACAGGGAACCCTAATGTAGTCTGGGTTGTGTGTATATGTAGGTCAGAGACAAAAGGAGAGGAACAGGAAGCAACAAGAAATGAGGATTGATTTGTAGGCATGGGCCACATCATACCTAATTTTCTAGACAGGGTAAGGATTTTATTCTTAAGGATAATGAAAAGCCAATAAAGAGTTTAAACAGATGATTCTCATGATCGGTTTGCATTTTAAGATCACTCTGGCTTCAATATAGGGAATTATTTAGAAGAAACCCAGAGTAGATGTCGGGGCAAGAGATAAGGTTTGTGGAAAACTATTGAGGCTTACAGAGGGATTGGGTAAGCAATGTTAAGGATTTCTGTGTTTTTCCTACTAGCAATGGGGAAACCTAAGTTTGGTCTTTTTTTTTTTTTTTTTTAAGATTTTATTTGACAGAGAGACACAGCGAGAGAGGGAACATAAGCAGGGGGAGGAGGGAGAAGCAGGATCCCCGCTGAGCGGGAGCCCGATGCGGGGCTTGATCCCAGGACCTTGAGATCATGACCTGAGCCGAAGGCAGACACTTAACGACTGAGCCACCCAGGCGCCCCCTAAGTTTGGTCTTAAAGGGAATGACCCCCAGCAGATATCCAATACATATATTTAAAAAATCACTCCATTGGGGCCTTCCTGCCTCTAAGGATTATCTTCCTAGTATGTTGTCCCATGACCCAGGACTGTGTTCTCTCCTAACTTGCCAAGCTCCATAGCATGCTGTATAAGACCTTTAATGATCTGGCCACTGCCATATTTTCTAGCCCCATCTACCGCCCACCTGATCCTGACAGTTATACTCTAGCAGTACTAATCTACTTGAAAGGACTCATCATGTTCTTTCACGCCTCTATGCTTTTACATGTGCTGTGGTTTCTTTTTTTTCTGGGTCTTGTTTGGTAAAGCACAATTCCTTTTTTAAAACCCATCTCAGATGTTTCTTCTGGGACATCTTTCATGACATTGGGCTCTCCAAATTAATAATAATAACAGCAATAACAGTAACAACATAGTATTAATTGTAATATTAATAATGTGTGTCTAATTCATCTCCGACTCCTCCCTAGCCCTCATGCCCTCAGGTAAAGGTGACAATAGGGAGTAACAGGGATTTGAGTGGAAGGATATATGTCCTGAAAGCACTTTCATTCAAATTAAAAAACAAAACTGTATTCTACTCAGATGATAACATTCTATTGAAAGGATTCAATTAGTTGTTATTATGAAACCGTTGGTGTATCACATTATAGATGCTTAAAGATTTGTCCACTGAAATTTAGTTTATTTCCTACCCGAGAGATGTAAGAGAGATGACAGTGTCCCTGGGCTATATTAATAGTTTATTTTATTATGATTTATAAAATAGATATTTTATTAATGGTTTCTACTCAAGAGTCATTGAAGGGCAAAGGCAGAGATGCTATAGATGGATGGAAACATGGAAGGGGTTGGGCTGAATTTATCCTTTTTAGCTTGTATTTTTCTCTTACTGTTTTTTATCCAGTGCCCACTACCATTTAGTTCTCTGACATTTATATCCATCAGCATGTATGCAGATGCACTGTGTGGTAGAGCACTGCAGCCTGAGGAGTAGAGTGAGTTCTACTAAGGAATGGCAAGAGGCAAGGGTTAAAACAGAGTTTCTCCTTTGCTCAGTTTGCTTTAACTCTCAGAAAGAGATAAAGGAATGGACAAAGAAGGATACATGTTTGTCTTAGCTTTGCTGCCATAACAAAATACCATAGACTGAGTGGCTTAAACAACAGAAATTTATTTTCTCCTAGTTCTGGAGGATGTAAAGTCCAAGATCAAGGTACAGGCTGATTTGGTTCCTGGTGAGAACCCTCTTCTTGGCTTGTAGACTGCTGCCTTCTCTCTATGCCCTCACCTGGCTGGGAGAGAGAGGGATAGAGAGAGGGCAGGCTCTCTGATAATCTTTTCTTCTAAGGGCATTAATCCCATCATGATGCCCTACCCTCATGATACATCTAATCCTAATTATCTTCCAAAGGCCCCATCTCTAAGTATAATCTCATGGGGGGTTAGGGCTTCAACATATTAATTTTAGGGAATATAATTTAGTTCACAGAAGTGTATTAGTCATTTTCTGGTGACTTTCTTATATCTTAAGATTTTCACCATTATTAATAATGCTCTGGAGACTCTTCCCAGAATAAGAAAGGTTTTTCCTCAAGTTTTATATGTGACCGTGGTTACCAGATTTTTAAAAATAAGAACTCCAGATGTCATAGTAATAATTTCCAGACATCACAGTCTTTCCTCACAGATTATGTTACTTTGGCTTCAGTAAAGTTTTTCCCCCTTTTCTGTTCCACTTCCTCTCCCCTCTTCCAGGAACCCTTTTATGCTCTTGTTATTGCTACATCGGTTTTAGTGTAGGCTTTTCTTTTTTGCAGGTGGAGACCACGTGGCTTTGCAAGGCCAGAGTTAATGAAGATCTTACACAATTCACTTGATGATTCTTTTAAACGCCTTATTTATCCTCTCCTCTGTAGAGAGTTCAGGTATGTATCTTGTCTTATTTAATTTTATGTACTGTTTATTATTATTTATGCTAATAGACCTATTAAAGCATGAAGTAAGTATTTGTTGATCTACTAACCCATCCGGAGACTGAGTCAGGATCACAAAGCAATTATAGTTAAGCGTAGGTTTCAATCTGTAGAGGCATTCATATGCGTAGACCACAAAACAGAGGTCTTAATTATAATGTACTTTTCAAATCTTGACCAGTTAATGTGTACCCCTTCCAGTCCTACAAAACCAGTTTTGCAGTTTGACAGCCAAGACAAACAAATGGTTTTATTGATGAGAGATTTAGCTTGGGATAATAAACTAAGAAGTTAATGGAGAATTTAGTTGGAAACAGTTTTTGGAGGGAAGAGAACCAAAAACAGCATAAGAAATTCATCATGTGCTCAGTGGGGCACATGATGAATTTATTACTACGAAGAGAGAAAGCTAATACATCTTTTTAATTCTAAATGGGAGTTATTTAAGTGAATAATTATCAGCAGTGATGAGCACATATTAGAGGAGATGATTAAAGTGACCATCTAAATGGACTCGTGGAAGGACTAAGAGTTACAAAGAGGAACTGCACAAGAGCTGAGGTGCAGATTGTGGGTTTTTGTAGGGGAAGAGATGGAAAGACGTTTGAGGAGGCAAAAACCCTCTTTCCTGCTTATCTCTAGCCTTTGTCTTTGTAGTCAATCTTCAAATCAGCCATTCCCTCATATATTCCTTCCTACGTGTTCTAGACTTTCTTCATTCTCTCTTATTTATGGATTTCAGCAAGCGTTGCTTGAAAACTGTAGATTTCTAGCCATCTCTTCAAGCTCACTATAGTTGATAGCAGCCTTTATAATGTTTGCCTGTTTTTCTTTTACTGGACTTGGCCACTGACTTTGGAGGTGTTGACAACAGGGACTGAGGGGGTACTACTAAAAAAGACACATAGCTTTTTTGACCAGCTTCTTTGTATCAAAGTCATTCATTCTCTTGATTCATCCTTCATAGCTCAGTTGTCCCTTAACAATATTGTTTCTTTTCGAATCCTATTTCAAGTCTGTGCGAGGTTACATCTCTTGCTTTTGAGTGCTGGGGCATAAAATTTAAAAATAAGGGGTTTTGTTCATAAGGAAAAAGAGAAAGTTACCTTATTCAAAATTTCATTTCCTCTTGTTTTTCTTTATCTTGGTTTTTCATGTTGCATATAATGTCCAGTAGTGCTTTTGACATTTTTGCATACATTTGAATTGAGTAGCTTCACTGCCTATGGGGTGATTTCATTGAGATTTACTGTAAGCGATTTGGTGTGGGATTGTTTAATGTATAATCCTTCTCTGACTTCTTTTAGCAGTGGGCAAACAAGAGCACTTTTCTTTTTCTAAAATGCCTGTGGTTAAAAAAATATATCTTATTTTAGTCTGTAAGTTGGTTTGCAGACATTGTCTGCAGATGTGTCTCTTGATAGAAATAGTTGTAATTACCCGAACAGCAATTGAGGGAGAAAACTCCCAATTGAATTTTCTTTAAAGAAAATTACTTCAATTCTCTAATTAAAAAGAAATTTGTCCTAATGTAGAAAAATGGAAAGAATCAGTAAAACACTAAGGAAAAAAACCCACAAAATTTTACTTCCTAGAGATAATCACTGTTAACCAGATTTTTCTCCATTCATGTGTGAGTATTTAAAACAATCATACGGACTATATTATTTTGCAGACATTTGATTCAGTTGACTATATACTATGCAGTCTACTTTGGATTTCTTATTTCTATAACTATCAAGATGATTCATCCCTGTGTTGTTTTTCACACCTACCTCTCATCAATTCTACATTGTCAGTTACCAAGTGCTGCCCGTTTTCCCTTCCTTTATTATACCTTGAATTTTGCCGCTTCTTGATCTCTGTGGTTACTGTTTTAGTTAAGAATATGATAATTTCTTGTCTGGATTACTGTTCTAGGGTCATAGATGATCCCTGTCTTTGTTTTGCCATACTACACATTTCATATTGCCATCCTCACACTCCCATCTGGGTATATCATGCTCTTCTACTTAAAATTCTCCAGTGGCTCTTCTTTGTCTCTAGGATTAAATCCAAGCTCTTTAGAAGATCATGCATAGCCTTTTGTGGTCTGATTTCATCTTGGCTCTACAGCCTTGTGTTTTGGTATTTCTTTTTACTTTAGCATATGAAATTACTTGCTTTTTCTATAATGAGTCATGAGTCTACGTATGGCATTGCCTGCAACATTTTCTCTATGCCTTCATTCTATTCTCCCTGCCTTTGTTTGCTTAACTGTAATACTTATTCTTCTTGATTCACCTAAGAAGGCATCTGTTTTAGAAAGTTTTGCAGTTTAGGTGTCCGTCCCATATGTTCTCATTAGCATAGCACTTATCATTGTTTATACTTATCTGATTATTTTCTGTTTTTTGCACTGTACAGTCGTATTCAGAGCAGGGATCTTGTTTTTTTCAGCTTTGTATCTTACACCGATCATGGTACTTTATATAAGACTGACGAGAAACATTCGCTTTATAAATAAAGTTAAAAGTGAAGATTTAAAAATACCTATCGGGGGCGCCTAGGTGGCTCAGTTGGTTGAGCGACTGCCTTCGGCTCAGGTCACGATCCTGGAGTCCAGGGATCGAGTCCTGCATCGGGCTCCCTGCTCAGCAGGAGTCTGCTTCTCCCTCTGGCCCTCCCCCCTCTCATGTGCTCTCTCACTCTCATTCTATCTCTCTCAAATAAATAAATAAAATCTTTAAAAAAAAAAAAAGAAATACCTATCGTGATACTTTTCATGTTGCTTGGCTGAAGGCGGGAGAATGACAGTGAAAAGAAGATGAGAGAAAGCCTTCAGAAATTGACTCGACAGAAAAGCAGACACTAGTTAGCTTCAGATATGTAGATAATTCTACCTCAGCACTGATAAGAAATGTACTTTGAATGGTTTTTGTACTGGCAGTTTTCTTTTCTTTTTTTTTTTTTAAAGATTTATTTATTTATTTATTTGAGACAGAGAGAATGAGAGAGGGAGAGCACATGAGAGGGGGGAGGGTCAGAGGCAGAATCAGGCTCCCTGCCGAGCAGGGAGCCCGATGTGGGACTCGATCCAGGGACTACAGGATCATGACCTGAGCCGAAGGCAGTCGCCTAACCAACTGAGCCACCCAGGCGCCCTGTACTGGCAGTTTTCTTGTGGCCATGGCATGAATGTCTTTACCTGTTCTAATGGAGAAGACATACTTTTTATGTCTTCTTATAAATTTCATAAGAATTTCAGGAGATAATATGTTAAGAGCTTTTGTTAAGAAGATGAATGGTGTTAAGGGGCACCTGACTGGCTCAGTCAGAAAAGTGTGTGACTCTTGATCTCTGGGTCGTGTTTTCGAGCCCCACATTGTGTGTAGTGATTACTTAAATAAATAAATATTAAAAAAAAAAAGAAAGAAAATGAATGGTGTTAAAACTTAGTTTCTGAATGCCTTTAAGTTCATTCTAGGCATATATTTTTATCCTAGAAAAAGTTTTAAAATTAGACTTTTAATAACTTCTCTGGAGAAAACCTGGGAAATTATGTGCATGAAGCATGGTTCTGGACTGATTACTAATATCCTTGGTCATGTCACATCTCTGTGAGAATGACAAGGTGGGGGCTAAATGTGGGGAACTGAACAGAGTGAGAAGATGACATTGAGATTTGTATAGGTAAAAGTGTAAAAACTAAGTACTGATGGAAGAGACTACTTAGGATTGGATAGTTTATCACTAATTTTGTGTTTGTATTTTTAATCAGCTGATAAACTTTAACTTGACTTCCTATATGATGTCTAGGTCTTTATATACTCTGTTTCTTTCACATACACAGATATTTATACATATAGATTTTGTATATAAAGAGTTGATAGAGAAAGAATGTAGGTATGACAAACTCCTCAGATTTGCTTCAGAATTGTTTATGGTTTCATATATTACTGCAATTAGCAAAAATAGGCTCAGTATAATTTTATATATGGTGTTTTCTCCTTTATTTTGTTAATAATAATTATTCCTGTGAGGAATAGGTGTATAGAATGAATTCTGTTCTTTTTCAGGAAGAAACTTTAGGTGAATAAAAAACTAAATTCTTTCTCTTTTTCCTTTTATTTTTTGGTTTCTAAAGAGCCAAACTAACATCAGATGCAGAGAAGGAATCAGTAATGATGTTTGGACGGAACCTTCGTCAGCTCCTTTTAACAAGCCCTGTTCCAGGGCGCACCATGATGGGAGTGGATCCTGGTTACAAACATGGTTGCAAATTGGCTATAATTTCTCCTACCAGTAAGTACATCTTTCAGTTCTTCAATTAAAAGTTGTTTGGTTGGTCATAAGTTTCACATCATACATATTGTGAGGATTTGAAATAATGTTAATTTTCAAGGCTTAGAAAATGGTTTTCTCACATACAGCAATGTGGAAGCCAGAAAACCAAACTTCATATTTGTCTTATTTGTTGATCAAAAATCTCAACATATTACTGTCATTTATGCCCTTCCCTATGTCACTGTGGAGATGTTGAAGATTAACCAGGCTCAAGTTTTACTATTCCCCCATTAACTTCTGTTTATTGTAGTGTATTATAAATGATGCATTTTAACTCTGTGTATTGTAAGTACCATTTTTATTGTTTTGCCCATTTTTCCCCCTTATTTACTATCTACCCTTTCTATTGCTTTTCATTTCTTCCTACATTTCTGTGTTTACATTTGAGATCATTTTCTCTCTGCCTGACCCTCTAACCTGTTACATTTAATATGGGGTCAGCTGGTGACAAATTGTGTTAGTTTTTGTCTAAAATGTTTCTGATTTGCCCTCCTTTCTGAAGGATATTTTTGTTGGGCATGGAATTCATGATTGGCAGTTATTTCCAGTACTTTAAAGGTGTCATTTCATTTTTTGTTTCTGTTTTTATCCCCCTCTGACTACTACACTTTTTGTTGAGAATGAGAACTCAACCAAAAATCTTATTATTGCTCTTTTGAAGAGCTCTTTTGATGTCTTTTTCCTCGGGCTGCTAAGATTTTCTCTCTTGGTTTTCAGAGGTTTTCTTATGATGTGCTTAGCTCTGTATATGTGTGTGTATGTGTGTGTGTTGTGCGTTTGTTTTTTTTTTTGGGTTTTTTAGCATGAATTCTCCTTGGGGTTTTTAGAGCTTCTTGCATTTCTTTCTGGAAATCCAATTACATGTATATTAGACCTTTCAACTTCCTCTTTCTTCTGTTTTTCATTGTTTTATTTTATACTGTGTCTTTATGTTAATTAAGCCTCTATTCTGCTGTGTCTGATCTGCAGTTAAAGCTGCCCATTGAGTTCTTTATTTAAATTATTATGTTTTCAAGTTTTCGAATTTCCATTTGGTACTTATAAAAAATAGATTTCAGTCCTATAATGAACTTCTTCACTTTAAATTTTTTTGAGTTTTTATATTTTTCTTATTTTTACCTTATAGTTCTCTTATTATATTTATATTATTATATTATGCACTATTACTATATATTATTATGTATTACATATATATTACATATATTATATACTATTATATTTATTGTTCTTGTGTTTCTTTTGGTTTAGATTTTTCTTTCTGAAATAACTTTTTTCCTAAATGATTTTATTTATTTATTTGAGAGAGAGAGAGAGAGAACATGAGAAAGAGAGAGAGCACAAGCAGGGGAGAGAGGCAGAGAGAGAGGGAGAAGCAGGCTCCCCGCAGAGCAGAGAGCCCAATAGGGGACTCAATCCAAGGACTCTGGGATCATGACCTGGACTGAAGGCAGACACTTAACTGACTGAGCCACCCAGGTACTCCTGGAATAACTTTTTCATGTCTACTTCAGTTTTGAGTTCTCTCATGTTATTTCTGGGGTTTTTTAATTCTGATTTATGTTATTCTCATTTTCTATGATTTTTTTTAATAGCTCATTCTTTAGGTTACAATTTTTCTCTGTGTTTTGTGGACACATCTTTCTGTAAGGACATACTAGTCTTTTTTTTAATTTACTGTTTTAAAAAATACTCATTCTATATGGAATTTGACTGTGATCCTTTTCTGTTGCTTAGGTTTACATAAAATTCATTTTCCCCAACTTTTAGGATAGAAGACTAGGTCAGGAAAGGTTTTCTAGCGTTATATTTCTAGAACTATCCCTTCTTTTTCCCCCAAATTATTGGTGTCGGGGGGAAAGCACTGTAGTATCTATATGAATAAAGAGATAGTCTTCTACTTTCTGGAATCTGTTTTCCTGATGCTTTCTCTCTTTTACCTGGACTTCTTTTTCCTTTGCCCATGTTATCCTTATCTTGTTCAGTGGGGATATGATTCCCAACAATTTCTCCTCAGTTGGGGTTTTTGTCTTGAAAAGGATATTCTGCCTGTTAGTTTCAAGAGTTCATAGAGATTAGAATTGTCCAATCCTTCCTGAACTCAGTGGGCAGTCTTTCTACTGACCTATAAATTGTGGTATGCAGAGGTCTTTCCCACACTACAGGGAAGTACCTTTTGATATTTTTTGGTCCATGAGATACTTCATTGCTTGTCTCTTCTTGCTCCCACAGAAATGCCAATGCATGTAGGTCTTGATAGTTGCATTATTCCCACTTGATCATCTTTTGAGTTTTGTGAATAGTTTGTTACAGATAGCCATGGATTTTTGGTTTTGCTGTCCTAGTTGCTCTGTCTTTTTATTATACTATATATTTTTACAGTAAGTGGGAAGACTACTTTGCCAATGTTTTTTCCTGCATCTGTTGAGATACCATATGTATTTGTATTTGGATATATTATTTGTATTGCTTGCAGGATGACTTCTTAAAAATACTGTATGCACTCCCACATATATATGTCTGTATCTTCATTCTGTTTTGGTAAGACATTTCCAAGAATTTATCCATTTCAACATTTAAATTAACATGAAGTTGTTTATAATAGTCTTTATATCTTTTTAATCTGTGCTGAAGCTCTAGTAATATCCTCTTTCCATTTCTAATATGATTTATTTGTATCTTCTTTTTTTTATTTATCTGTGTCTTCTTTCTTTTTCTTGATTGGTATTGCTAAAAGTATGTGTTTTTCTTAAGTGATTTTTTTTTAAATTTTATTTTATTATGTTGTGTTAATCACCATACATTACATCATTAGTTTTTGATGTAGTGTTCCATGATTCATTGTTTGCATATAATACCCAGTGCTCCATTCAATACGTGCCCTCTTTAATACCCATCACCAGGCTAACCCATCCCCCCACCCCCCTCCCCTCTAGAACCCTCAGTTTGTTTCTCAGAGTCCATAGTCTCATGGTTTATCTCCCCCTCCGATTTCCCCCCCTTCATTTTTCCCTTCCTACTATCTTCTTTTTTTTTTTTTTTAATGTATAATGTATTATTTGTTTCAGAGGTACAGGTCTGTGATTCAACAGTCTTACACAATTCATAGTGCTCACCATAGCACATATCCTCCCCAATGTCTATCACCCAGCCACCCCATGCCTCCCACCCCCCACCACTCCAGCAACCTTCAGTTTGTTTCCTGAGATTAAGAATTCCTCATATCAGTGAGATCATATGATACATGTCTTTCTCTGATTGACTTATTTTGCTTAGCATAATACCCTCTAGTTCCATCCACGTCGTTGCAAATGGCAAGATTTCATTTTTATTGATGGCTGCATAATATTTCATTCACATTTGCTTTATCCATTCATCTGTTGATGGACATCTTGGCTCTTTCCATAGTTTGGCTATTGTGGACATTGCTGCTATAAACATCGGGGTCCACATACCCCTTCGGATCACTACATTTGTATCTTTGGGGTAAATACCCAGTAGTGCAATTGCTGGGTAGTACGGTAGCTCTATTTTCAACTTTCTGAGGAACCTCCATACTGTTTTCCCGAGTGGCTGCACCTGCTTGCATTCCCACCAACAGTGTAGGAGGGTTCCCCTTTCTCAGCATCCTCGCCAACATCTGTTGTTTCCTGACTTGTTAATTTTAGCCATTCTGACTGGTGTGAGGTGGTATCTCATTGAGGTTTTGATTTGGATTTCCCTGAAGCCAAGTGATGTTGAGCACTTTGTCATGTGTCTGTTGGCCATTTGGATGTCTTCTTTGGAAAAATGTCTGTTCACGTCTTCTGCCCATTTCTTGATTGGATTATTTGTTCTTTGGGTGTTGAGCTTGATAAGTTCTTTATAGATTTTGGATACTAGCCCTTTATCTGATATGTCATTTGCAAATATCTTCTCCCATTCTGTCGGTTGTCTTCTGGTTTTGTTGACTGTTTCCTTTGCTGTGCAAAAGCTTTTTATCTTGATGAAGTCCTAATAGTTCATTTTTGCCCTTGCTTCCCTTACCTTTGGCGATGTTTCTAGGAAGAAGTTGCTTAAGTGATTTTTAATGTTAAACTTTACCAATCCTCTCCATTATATATATGTTTTTTTATTTTGTTAATTTCTGCTTTTAACTTCATAATTTCCTTCCTTCTACTTTCTTTGAGATTATTCTGGTGTTCTTTTCATAGCTTCCTAAGTTGGTCACTTAGCTCATTATTTCTGTTCTTGAGGTCTTTACCCTCAAATGTTGAATATATTTTTCACTGAAATATAATATAATATAATATAATATAATATATAGAGAAGCACACAAGTCATAAATATGCAGCTTAAGAATTATACATATCTACATTCACATATCTACACCCCAAAAGAAGAAATAGAATCATTACAACATTGCCTGGCATTTGGTACATATTCAGTAAATGTTAGCTTGATGTTATGTGCTATTAAAAACCATTTATCTTTTAGGTGTCATGGCATATAATCTGGTTAATATGATTTTGTTAATAATAAGTAGCAAAGTAGTGTCCTTATAACTTTGGAAGTAACAAAATTTCAGAGTGCTTTGGGAGAATCTGATTTAGTGAATATGAATGATTCATCCTGCATTTTAAAAGACAAAGCAGTTCCCTTTTCTGGTATAAATTACTTAAGCATATCATCTTTGTGTTGTGTTTTGTAATTTCTTACAAAATTGGCTTATTCTTTTCATTTTCTCTAAGGTCAGATACTCCATACTGACGTGGTTTACTTGCATTGTGGACAAGGCTTCCGAGAGGCAGAGAAAATAAAGCGGCTTTTGCTGAATTTCAAGTATGAACATAAGTAACCTTTTGAGTACTTCACTGGCTCAGCCAATCAGAGATACCTTTGTAGCTCCTAATTTGGAGGGAGGGATTAAGGGAAGTGCCTTGGTGAGAGAGAAGGAATCATGTAAAACAATGCTGGGGCAAATTGCTGGAGAACTCTACATTTGGAGACTCCGGAGGGATGCTTCTCCCTTCCTCTGCCACCTTCACTAAACAAAGGTGGTAATATGAGCAAAAGTGAGCATTGAATTCTTTTATTTAGGCTTTCTCTCTCTCTCTTTCTCTCTCTCTCTCTGCCTCCCTCCTTCCCTTCCTCCCTCTTTCCCTCCCTTCCTTCCTTCCATTTTTTTTATGGATCTGAGGAGTGGATGTGATGGTAGTTTGAAGCTTCAGAGATTATTTGGCAACATATCACATAATTCAGTCATGATGTCTTTATTATGGCCTAGAATGCTCCAGAGTTTCTTATCTATGTGTAAATTTGGTTCCTTCTAGATGGGAAGAAAGCTGACTGTTCTTGATTGTATGACAGTAAAATATTTCTCCATTGCTTCCCATACCAAATGCAGGGGCATTGTCCTTTATTCTATAAAAGTCTGTGCCTCCATTGTGAAATAGTGGAGATGTTGCTTGGCTATATGAGAGAATAAGATCATCGTATGATAGTATTTGTGCATTCTGTGCATTTTCTCCTGATTGATTTAGAAGCATGCCTTGAGCTCATTCCATTTCTCATCTTGTTTATCCCTTGCAGCTGCAGCACGGTGGTGATTGGAAATGGAACTGCCTGCCGGGAAACAGAAGCTTACTTTGCTGACCTGATAATGAAAAATTACTTTTCACCACTGGATGTTGTTTACTGGTAAGGATATTAGGAATGTTTGTTTTCTTTGAGAAGCAAAGGAACTTCTACAGTTCCTTCTGTGATGAATTCTCTCTTCTTTATAATATCCATCTTCTTTGCCTGCAAAACACCTTTTGCTGTTCACAAGCGCTTTGTAGGACAATGTAAAGTGTCTGTCTCCTAGAGAAATTTGAGTTTCAGTATCCTAAAGACTCCCACAGAAATAGCAAGATAGGACTTACTTGCGTTCATGGGGTTTTCTAGGTTGTACCTTGTGTGAGGGCTCTAATTAACTACAAACTAGTACATAGGACTGTGGATAACTTAGCTTTTTTCTCCCAAAGTTCTGATGCGTATAAATTGGTTTTCAGAACTGACAACCAAGGGTATTACCAATTAAAAGCACTTCTGATATTCCTTTCTTGTTTGTGTCTTCATTGCAAGCTTTCATTTTATATAGGCATCCACTTAACTTCTGAATAGCTTTGGCTTAGTATGACCCATTTCTCTAGTCCTTCCCCAGATCTGTAGTAGTTCTGCTTTCATTCACCTTCGTTTCCTTACTTTCCCTTTAGACTTCAGGTAGCCAGGCTTACCTTTTTCTTTTCTTTTCCTTTTTAAGATTTTACTTATTTATTTGACAGAGAGCACAAGTAGGGGGAGCAGGAGAGGGAGAAGCTGGCTCCTTGCTGAGCAGGGAGCCCAACGTGGGGCTTGATCCCAGGACACTGGGATCGTGACCTGAGCTAAAGGCAGACAGTTAAACCACTGAGCCACCCGGGTGCCCCCCTCAGGCTTACCTTTTTCAAACTACAGTAGAATATTAAGTTCTTAAGGGTTTAATTCTACGACAGAAGATAATTACAATAGCTGATATCTAGGGAAGAGTGCACAAGCACCATCTTCCACTGCTATAAGTCAACTGATGAGTATGTGACTGACAAGATCAACAAACAAAACTCAACACAAGAAGAAGAATCCTAAGATCCATGGAGGTAGGCCAAAAGAGGAGGGCTTGTATTTAGTGTAGTGTTCCATAGGCCAAGAGTGTAATCAAGATGTCAGGAAAACAAATGCAGGGTAACCAAAGGGGATTAGGAGGTCAGGGAAAAAGAAAAAAGCTGTAGGTACCACAGGCCATGGTTCAGGAAAGGACCAGATTGAAAAGTCCACCTCAGCTTCCCCTGTCCCCCTTCTTGTTCAGGATGGTCTGGGGAATACTGTGGATCTTACCTATACTGGGAACTGTGCACATGCATCCAATCCTTTTGAGAACCTGGTACAAGGACCCGATACAGCTGATTCCGTTTATTTCAGGCAACTTGTCTGATTTTTTTTTTTTTAACTTGTTCATGTTAATTTAATATAAATATCTTGGGTACATTTGTAGTGCTTATAAAAAGAACTTTCAGATCATTAAAATATTAAATGTGCTAGTATGATTTGCTGTTTCAATCCTCTGGCACATAGTAGGCACTCATTTTATTTTTTGAATATCTGAATGTTTGTTTCCATTCATGTTAAATTATTATACTTGATTATTTTCTGCTTTTGTCCTGGTTTTCCCTTTTGTAAAAAAATAGTGTTTTTTGTGTAGCAGTGGTAACATTTATTGAAATGTAGAAATGGCTAGCTCCTTATGAGACATTTATGCTTATGAGCAATGTATCTAGTTTCTCCTCCTACATTGAAACCTTCTTAAATCAGGGGATCATGTTTTATTTATCTCTGCCTCCTTCCCATTAAACATAACATCTGTGCACAAACATCTGTATATAGGTCCATCTCAACAAATTAAGGTTTAAATTATTTTTAATCAGATAAATATTTTCAAGCTATTGACCAGAATTACAATATGGAACAACTGTAGAAAACTTCCCCTCAGCTTAACACTCTGGTAAATCTATGACTTACTGTTTTTTCTCTTTTTTCATTGATAGAGAAATTTGCATTTGGTAGATTAGAGATTATATTTTGCCCAAGATAAATGATAATTTTGAAATAAAAAATATTGCATGGTTAGAGTTATATATTTATTTAATGAACTGTGAAAGAATTAAAAGGACTCTTTAATGTTTGCCTTCTTATATTTCAAACTATGGTTGGCACACTTTACGCTGATCGTAGAAGCATTGCTAGAAATCACAGCATTGTGTGCGTTCTGTAGAATTACATGAGATCACATAAAAACCTGGGAGCAGCAAATGGAAAAGAAAATTTTGTGCTGTTAATTCAGACCCTGCACTTTATGTTTCTTCCCTGAAAGCTACAGTATACAAGTGAGTTTGAGCAGGCAAATATAGAAAATAGGAGAAAGGAAATTAATTTTGCTTCCCAATGCCCTAGATCATTAGGATAATGAAAGAATTAGAAAATAGAGTGACCTGAGGAGGTGCGGTGTGTGATGAGAGAATGAGAAAAGGGAACAGGCGCTGTGGGAGAGGCGTGGGGTTATGGGTTTGAGGTTAGATGTAGCAGGCTTGGCCGTTGAAGCACGAGCAGACGGCTAGATCATATTAGGAAAAGAGGGTCGGTGCTGGACATCTGTAAAGTACATATTGGACCTCTCTCTTCTTTCATTCCAGGAGGGTACCAACCATTTAATAGAAAGAAAATAGAAGTTAAGGAATCGTAATTTTGTTGCTTGAGATTAGTTGTTGTATTTTCCAGAGTTTAACTTAATTGCAGGGAGTAGCTTGAGCCTCAAAGGGTTAACTCCTTTGTGAAAAATGTTTAAGAGTGAAGCTAATGAAACTCTTGCCTTAAAATTAGAAAACAAACATTATTTCTTTAAAGGTATTAGTAATATTATTTCAAATTGGAAAACACAGATAAGTGATAGGCTTTTCTATTAGCTCAATTGTTATTTATAGTTTAGAGCATATTTCTAGATTGTGTGTGTTATAAAAAGAAACACACTGTACATGTTTTACAGCATTTCCCCAACTTAATACACTCCCATGCCAATAAATGGACTTTACAAAGTCATTTAAAATTACTATGGATAAACTTTTATATGATCTTATATTTTAGTCATTCCTCATTGTGTGACGCTGGCTTTTTCTAATCATCACTATTATCAGCAAAGCTGTAATAAATGTTTCATGCTTAAATCTTTGCACATACCTTTATTGCTTTAGAATCCATTCCAAGAAGTAGACTACAGGTTTAAAGAGGTACCTTACCACTGCTCCTAAACTGCAGAGTGCTTAATTACCAAACCCAATCTATTACTGAGATTATTTCCATGCTATTTCTCCCTCTTCTCAGCATGTTGGCTAATTTGGGATGTCTTTACTTAAAAATATTTATATTATAAGTCCGTATAAAAGTCCAGATGAAGAGGGAAGAAAATAAAGCACTTCTTAGTGTGAAATATATCTAAAGAATATAGAACCTCTATATACAGTTTGAGGAAGAATAAAATGATTGTCCTTGTTCCCAGCTTTTAGGCTCCTTGTGTGTTTTTTCCTTGGAGTGCCTCTACCCCATGTAATCACTGTCTTGGGTTGTATGAATTATTGCTTGTTTGAGAAAATTAATTTTCAAACTGCGTATTTGTAGGGCTTTTGAAGTACATTGCCATGCTGTCTTCCAGAATGACTATGCCAATTAATATTCTTACCTACAGTGTCTCTGCTCACCTTTCTCTGGGACCTTGAGTATTATTATGATGCATGTTTGTTCTATCATTTTTGTTTTAATTGCATATTGATATCCCAGCAGTACTGCTTCTTAACGAATTGTGTAACCTTGGACAAATTACTTAACCTCTCTGTATTTCAGGTTCATCATCTGTAAAAGGGGATGATAATAGTACCTATTTTACAAAATTATTGTGAAGGTTAAATGAGTTAGTATATATAAATTGTTTAGAACAGCACTTAGCATATACTTGCTATTATTATTAATGAAGTCAAATATATTTTTGTATGCTCACTGGCCATTTCTGAATTGTTTTGTGTATGTGTGGATGGCTTATGTCCTTTGCTCATTTTTTTTCTGTTGGAGGTTTTTGTCTTGTTCATAATGTTTTGTAAATGTTTTTATATATTAATTATTGGTCCATTTGTTGTAATTTTTGCAGATTATGCAAGTAGTTTTCTCCATTTTGTGTTTAAATTCAAGCTTTATTTTGTATAGCATCCTAAATTTTATCTTTTTAAGATTTATCTGTCTTTTTCTTTATGGCTTTTGAGTTTTTTATTAATCTTGAGTCTAGAATATTAGAAAGTTTATTAGTTTTTGTAGAAAATAAGAACCTCCTATATGTCCAAGAATATCAAGTGGTTTTTTTTTTTTTTTAATGCAGGCTTCCCTCAAGTTTTTATTTCTCTAACTTTTCTTTAAGTCTTCTGACTTTTCTTTGTAAAGCCATAAAACCTCATTATCTTCTCAGTTACTGATATGGTTGCTTTGAAGCTTTTTATTCTCCAAGAAACCAAAAATTAACCAGAGAACCTTAATCAGCTTAGGTAACAGAAACAGAATAGAAAGCTGTTAATTAGTTTTGAGAGTAGTTTTGAAAAAAGGATGGATGCTGATTTTTCCCTTTCTTTCTGAAGGCCTTTATTGCCAGCTGCAGTGTTTTGTAAACAGCAGAGCCACCTGATTTCTTCCCTTTCCTCCCTTCCTCTCCCTCCTCTTCCCTTTCTCCTTCCTCATTTTCCTTCTCCTTCCCTCTCTCCTTTTTCTTCTTTAATTCTCTTGTTTGGTTACACCATATTTTAGTCATCTGTTGACAACTGGTTATTTTCGATTTTTGATGTATCTTCAGTTTTAAACCTATGAGTATAGACTAATCAGCTGTATTTTCGGTATTTATTTGCAGGCACATTTAGTATGGGATTTGTCTATAACCCATTTAAAGTTAACTTTTATATATGGTATGAAGTTATTTTTTTGCATATGACTGGATTATTCCAGTACCATTTGTGAAAGATTTTCCTTTCCCCATTGAACTGCTTTGGCATGTTCGTTCAAAATCAACTACCATATACATGTGAATCTATTTCTGG